TCCCCAGAATAACAAGTGTGCCTTTCCCTCTTCCTATGGCACATTCTAACTGAAATAGCTGGAAATGGATGCAAGTGGCATTCCATTGTGTTCTGAAAATCAACTGCTTCATAAGTAACTACTTAGAACTTGGTATTATATAAATGCTCTAGATGTTTCCCTGTTCAGTATGAATATTTTGAGAAGTTTCATAGTTTACTATTCAATAACTCATTATTGAAACACATATAAATATGTTTCTATATATATTTCAATATAGGTAAGTATATCAAATTACTTTCTATATAATACATAATTTATATATATATATAAAATCTACATATGTGAATATGTATGTAATTTATATAAAATAAGTATAAATATAATCAAATTGATGATCAAGGAAAAAGATACTATAGAACTTACTTATCCCATAAGAAAATCAGGGACTTTACTGCTTTCTATAATGTAGATTAAAATATATACAAATGATTCACAGTTCTAAGGCACATACGGTCTTGAATATGTAACAGCGGCAACCCTTGATCATTCTGAACTTCACTTTTGTCATTTGGGGAAATGAAAGATTAAGTAAGTGGGTTAAGCTGTCACACAGACATCTATGACTAATGAACTCTGAATGGATCAAGTGCAATTCAAGGTCAAAAATGTTGTATTACAGAAAGAATACTACCCCACTTTCAAGGAATATCTCAAATAATTGTCTTCATAAAAGTAATCTCTTATTTTGAAGACTCTCCTTCTGTTGGGATCAAAATAAACAATGCAAAGAATATGAAGGTGCTTTCAAAAGTACCTTGATTGACTGCTTTCAGAGAACCTGAATTTGTGTATGGACCAAACTGAACAGCTTCTCTGGAATTTATTAAGTTCATTAGAAAAAATATGTATCACTTAGTGAGCACTAATTGGCCAGGCGCTGGGCGCTTTTTATACATTCTCTCTACCTCAACAAGCTTCAACTGACAACTACTGGCTTAGAATTTCTATTTATCTGTATAAATTAATAAAAACAAGAACTTGCACATTTACATTTTCATTTGAATTTCAAAATTGCAAACTTTTGATGTGAATGCCTCTTACTTTTTTAGTCTCTCTTAACAAATAAGTTACTCCAGTATCTTTTTCAAATATGTACTTTTATGAATACACAGCTGTCTTGCAAATAGACCAAAGTAATATTTAATGTTTGCTCTGTAGTTCAGTTTTAAGTTCTAAATGTAAACTAACAGAAACAAGCATCCAAAAGAAACAGATAAGAGTTTTGTGAGCGTTCATGATCACTTAATACATTTACCTTATTTAACTTCATTATTTAATACTTTAGTTTCTAATAACTATTTTATACTCAGTAAATTTTTTTTAATTTCTTGAATTTAATGGAATATGAGAAATTCAGGATAGAGAGCTACCAACTCTTCTGAAATCAGAAAAATTTGTTTAATTTGTTCAGCCTGCATTGTTAAAATTTCAGAGGCTGTGAAATGTATGGTGCTACATGTAGGCAGAGGTTCAAATACAAAAAGGACATGAATTTACATCTTTTTCAGTCCCCTTCCCATGGAGGCTTCATATGCTTTCCTCAAATTAAGAATGCCAGTATTTCCAGCAGTGTGACATTCCAATGAATGGCAACACTGTTGGCAAACACTACAAAAGAACAACTCTTGTTACCTATAGAAATGCCTACAAATTCAGTATATGTTTTGATGTTTATTATTGTCCAGGTAGTTTTATAATAAGGAAATAGTTATAAACATATAATCATATCCTAAATGCAGTAGTTTCTGGTAAAAAAATGAAAGAATGAAATAGATATTTTCTCAAGGAGACTATTTTAATCTGCTTAACTGATGAAACTTGTTATATTTGCCAGATTGGTTTCTGCACTTTTTGCAAACAGTGTTCTTGCTGCTGAGCATGTATAGATTGGTAGAAATAAAACATTTCAGGATTTACCCACATTTTTTAAAGCAGAAATGTTAGTCACAGATAGGTTTTAAGAGGCAGCCTCAATTTTGTACCTCAACATCAGCTCTATAGATTTGTATCTATTTTAGAATTAAAAAAGCAATGAAATATTTCTCTTAAGACCAATGAATCATGGCAGCCTGGTGTCATAGGTCAAGTTCTTCTGGAATTGGGCTCTGAGACTTCATTGGGGGAAATCTGTAAGGAGTGAGGCGGGCAGGACTGGGCAGAGGGAGAAGTTGTGCAGTGATACAGTCACAGCAGAGGCCTCAGTCTATCCTAAATCCTATGAGGACCATTGAAGCTGCAGTAGAGCTTCCAAGTTGTCCTGCTTGAAGGCAGGAGGGAAAAGCCAGTTGGCCCCAGCACTAATCAGTCTTTGCATAAGGCTACCAAACCCCTCAAACCCTTCCAACTGTGAAGGGTTTTTGACCTTGGGCAAGGCAGCTCCCTTTGGACCAAAATAATTTGTGAAGAGGATCGCAGATGTGAATCATCAACTGTCAGCTTCCCAGCATCTAGGGGAATAAGTGCCTCCATCGGAAAGGAGCCAGACTGTGTACACACAGCACCCGTTATGCCCGTATTTACATACAAGTGGCCAAAAAGTATGTAGTCCCATACCCTCTGCTTTCACATGATCTTTTAGGTTTCTCTCTTCAGACAGGTAAGAAGGGATGAGCCCAAATACTTTCCCTAGCTTCCCAGGATTTCATAACTCTTCCTTGGTATTTTTTATCCCCTAGGAAGGAAACCTCAGGTGCAGTTTGAGAGAAGGCCTTGAACTCTGTGTGTAAATGTAAATGAAATACCCATCTTGGAGGCAGAGAGGTGGGAATGAACTTTACCTCACAATCAAGTCAACATATATTTATTCTTTATGCCTGTCATTATGCTGGCTAAGAAAAATAAGCCTATCTCAACCTTTTTAGATACTCTGAACCAGAGGGGGATGTAAATATAATAATTACAGAATATGTTCTTGTAAAATTGCATTCTTGTAATTATAAGAATGGAATGTTTCTGTGGAAACAGCATAAACTAGTTTGTCAAACTTACTTTTTCTCTTCTTGATGTTATGTGTCCCCTTACTTAGTTTCTGAGATTTTAGGTTCAAATAGGATAATGAATGTATATGAACACTTTTGGTAAAACATGACATGTGACACAGATGAAAATAATTTAAAATTATTTATTAAAGCTCTCTATTATTTGGGGACATGTTAAACCACGCCACAAATGTCAACCAAAACATATTTTACTCTGAGTTTTCTAAGGAAGCACTAACCAAAAATGTATTTTAATTCTTTACTTTTTCATCAAAAGAGAAATTTTTAGCAATACTAAACCCAAACAGGTCTAGCACCAAAGTTTTATGGATACCCTCTCTGAGGAAGCCTGCATATCCACACTCAGTAGCTTACCAGGCAGACAATAGAATAAGTTTATGGTATGCACGGGTGAATACACTTGTTATATTTGCCTTTATCTCTGTTCGTCTTAACATCTGCTGTCTGTTGCCTGACTTGTACTACTTTTTATTTTAATTGGTTTGCTGATTCAAACTTGATGCTGTTGCCCTTGCTGTTGTTAAGGAATATCTTAAGAGGGAAATAAAAAGAGTGGAGAAAATATTGTTTTTGTTAATTTGGCTCCAGCTGATTTTATACCTGGAAATTGGAGAGCTAATGTTCTTTGATTTTTTTTTAATGGTTAATTAAATCCTATGCTGATGGCTTCTGTTCTAGGTATTTAGTCACCCATCTTATTAACAGATCATCTAGTCCAAAAGGGTTAGTTTGCCCTGGGAAACCATTTTTAGAATTTTCACCTTGTGTTCAGGTGACTGGCTGAGGGCAGGATGCTGGTCTGTGTGCAGGTAGCCAGGGAGTTAATTGTGAGATTTGTCAAGGTAGATCGCGTGGGTCTCGCTCTACTTTGTTTTAAAAACAAGATGGCAGGCCAGCAAGTGGTGCAGTCATGAACCTCTCTTCTCTCTTGGAATCCTTTTCCGTGAGAGAGGAAAAATCCCACTGCATTTTGTTTTCCTCATGCTTCTTGGATTTTCACCAGCAGATTTTTACAGTCTGTTGCTTGCCTCTCAGATTAGAAGAATGCTGGCATATTTTAAGTTTCCCAGGATTCAAACAGCCTTTAATTAACAGCAAATTGATGTTTTGGAATGTTACCAAAATACGGGAAACTGGATGCTGAGGTGGCTTCTGTCCTTCCCGCTTCTGAGTCCTGTAAGAGGGAGCCATGTAAGGGGGAGGGAGCAAAAGTATGTGCTCCCTTGAACATAGCTGGTTGCCTATTGATATGCAAAGGAGTGCCTTTGCTGACATAATATCCCCAGTCCTTGCTGCTAAATTCCACCTACTCATGACTGGGGAGGAGGCAGGTAGTCCTTGAATGCTCAAAGCCACAGGGTGTTGAGCACTTCAGGGATTGCTCCATTTGTAGCTGGGTTTGCTTGTTCTAATCTTCCAGTTGCCCAGGCAGTAAGGTATGGTTTCCTGTGTTTGTGGTTAACTTTTCCATGCCAGGTTCATATCATCTTGCTGCCAGAGTTGAGGATGTGGTGGAAAAGAACAGTTCTGTAAAATAATCAGTTATACTTGGTGCATATTCTGAGCAAAAGTTAGTTTTCAAGGAGGCATTAGGGGTGGAGTGGAAAGGTTCTCCTTTTGAATCAAGAGATTTTGGTGATAGATTTGTTGCCAGCTCAGTCCAGAGCTCCAGGCAGGAAAAGAAGGATAGACGGGGGCGTAGGGAATGTTTGCAATGTTGACTGTGTACTTACATAACCTGATAGTTATAACCTGAGGAGACAAAGGAAACAGCTCAACTCGCTGCCTCTGCCTAATGGCAGATCTGCTCATTGGCCAGGTCCCAGCTGAGGTCAACACGCTCCATGCCTTGTTTTTTCCAGTGCCCCACAAGCCTAGCCTTTTGGTCTCAAAAGAGACCTTGGTGTTGTTTCATGTGCACGATGTCCCTGATTGCTGCCTTTCCTCTTGTCTCTGCAGGTGGTACATGCCAGAGCCCTGCTCTCCCAGCCCTGGTCCGTCCACCAGCCCCTCCTTTGCAACCGTCGCTGGATATTAAACCATTTCTTCCCTTTCCTCTTGACACTGCAGCAGCGGTCAACCTCTTCCCCAATTTTAATGCGGTAAGTTCCAAGGTTTAATTTGCATTTGCCAGAGTGGTTAGTACCTTGTGGAATACCTGAAAGGCCAGGGGTGAGCTGGGCACTACCCCCATTTGCTATACTGTTTGCCCCCCGCGGCTCATCTGAAAGCCCTAAGGTTGTCTGCCTGGTTATGAAAGGCCCTGGGAGCCAGACTCCTTCAAGGGAAAATGAAAAGAGATTCAATCTGATTGAGTTGCTAATGAGTTCATGTCTCCTTTGTAGTGTCTTTCTGGGTAACACTAACAGTTCCATGACTTTGTTGGAATATCTGAACATTAAAATTTAATGAATTTGTTAGAGAGGATATTAGAATTCAAGTAGATGTCTAAAAACTTAAACATGTGTTTCTTCTATCTTGGCCCTATAGTTCAATTTTCATATCTGTGACTTTTCTGATTTAATAAGAGGACCTTGATAATCACAGCAGTGACACATGCCATGTGTGTAGCACTTTTTTCCTCCTTAAAACGACTCAGGGATCTGGTAGCAAGAGATTTCTTTTCTTTTTTTTTTTTCCCATCCTTCTACCTTTTCACAGCTGCTCAAGCTAAGTCTTTCTTAAATTACTTTGTTTTTTGGGACTTTGTCAACAGCCTTCTCAATGCGAGTTCAATTACTTAACTTGTCTCTCTTTCTGCTCTTAAGCATGTCTTTGTGTTTTTGTAAGTTGGCACATTCCTCATATTCATCACCATTTTTTTTTGTATAAGCTGTGAGAATATTCTTAGGGTAGAAAGAGAAAGAAGAGTTGAAAAGGTTAGAAACTAATAAGTGGCAATTTTTCTCTAATATTGCCTGATTCAGCTTTCAGCAGTTGTTATACTGCAAGTCTAAGCTTATTAATGACAGGACATGTCAACACAGCAGAAGCAAAGAGGATTAAGGTGAAGGTCATTGAATGTCCAGTGATTTAAATAACACAGATTTCTTGTTGCAAATTCTTATAGTGATTAAAAAAAATTTTTTTGCTCACAATTAGATGATCCTCTTTCAGGAGGCAAAAGTGGCCCATATTCTCTTTACCAATACTTCATGCAAGGGACTTTGGACGTGCCGGTGATGTGGTATGGTTATGTGCTTCTTCTTGCTAATGGGCAAGAGAGGGTCAGAAGGATCACTTTGTTTTTTTGGGGAGTGAGGGATTTTTCCATAGAATCTTATTTTGAAATTGATGGAGCATAAATAGCACAGCATAAAAATCCTATTTCCAAAGTAGAGGTTTCTAATCCTAGTGTTTCAATAAGAGTAGACAAATTGCTCAGCATCAAATTCCCTGATTCTTAAATGATCACAGCAAAGTCCCCAGGTTCCTCTGAACCTCTTGTCTGCTCTTCTGTTAAATGGCTTCCTGGCACAGTCTTGCTTCCTAGGTACCCAGAGATGATCCATCAAGGTACTTTACCTGGCCTCTGAGACCACTTGGCATCCTGTCACTCAGATCTCAGGTCAGCTTAGAGAAGTTTAGGTGAAATTCCTGGAAGACTATAAAAGACTGGGCTTAAAACTTTCAGTTTACACTTTAGGAAACATTAAAAGCAAAATGATTAATTTGATTGATGATGAGTATTTGTCGTAAAACAAAAATGTGTGATAGGCTAACTCTTTGATACTGAGCAGATCTCTTTACCCTCTTTGCTGCTCTTTACTCCTCTTTAAAATAAAAGGAGTGGACCTAATAACATCTTCCTTCCAAATATTTTAATTTGGGTTATTCCATCCAAATATTTGAACCTTGGTGGGCAAAGGCAGCTCTGTGTAGTGGTCAAGCTAGACTATAGCCAGACTGACTACGTTCAAGTCTCAAAGCTGCTGTGACCTTGGGTAAGTCACTTAACTCCATGTATCTCAGTATCTTCATCTATAAAGTCGGACTAATACTCAAGGTATGTCATAGGCATGTGGTAGTGCTTTTATGGGTTGAATCATCTAGAATAGGGCCCAGCATATGTTAAGCACTACTTGAGTGAAAGGTGTAGGCTCATAAATATCCTGTAAATCCTTCCTATTTTCAATGTAGCAGTTTACTGACTGACTGAAAAATTTGACTTGATACTTTTTCCCTCATGATGAATTTTGACTTATTTGGTATTTGTTCCATTTAAACCAAGAGACCCTCTGTAGCTACACATGCTGGCTATTAACTTCCAGTGCTAGTCAAGCTTCAGCCAACCAAGGATCAAGCCACTTCTTGATTCTGACTGGGGGGGAATGGTTACAGAGCTCATAATGTGACTTTGGACTCAAAATTAGACTATAGAGCATCTAATAGCTCTGAGTTCTTGATTTTGTAGCAGGTATGAGTCTTAATCCACAAATGCATGCTGTATGAAATGCAATTTTTTATTTCTGTGAGTATATTTAATTTCTGGTTCAAAAGCCCATTCTATTCTGCTGGAGGGAAATGCATTTAATTATGTTTCAGTGTGTGCTGAGATTCTGGAATCTAAAATGTTACCCATCTAGCTTTTGGGGGGACACTTCCTGTATTCATGAAGTTATTTATCCACATAGCTTTCATGGATGGTCAGCACTTGGTTAGTATGGCCTTTTAGGCCACAGACACACGACCTCTGTAAGGCTGTCAGTGGTTCCCTCCTCCTGGATGCACTATACTGCTTTGGTTTCTTTGCCAAGAAAATGATGAAGCACTATGCCACCCGACAACCTTCTCCCATCTGACCTTTTTGAAACAAGTCCATGACAGTCAGAAACTGTCTGCCTGTTATATTCCTTCTTTGAGAAAATAAGTATGGACTCATCTGTCTCTTTTAGATAGAATAAGGCAGGATGGTGAAAGAAATTTAAATATTTATTTATATATATAAATACATGAAATACAATATGTGAAAACATAAGTGGATATCTCTGATTATTATCCTTCCAAAAGAGCATAAACTGTTAGGTTTGGATGTGAACCAGGAAGCATAATGAAACAGCTGTAAAAATATGCACAGTTGGGGGAAAAGAAAAACAGATGTAGAATCAACTCGGATATGGCTATAAATGGACATTCATTAAAACCATCAGGATCCCTTAGTGTACTCAAAGTTAACTTCAAAGAATAGCAACAGAAGCTGTCCTCTTGACCTAGGGATGTTGTAGTCCTAGGGATGATATTCTAGTAGCTTTCAGATAAGGGAAAGCTTTTCTTGAATTTCTCATTTACCCCCTACCTGCCTTTCAATCTTTTAAGACACAGGAGTTTTAGTGCTTAGGCCATTCTGACCCCAGTGACTCTATTCTGAACCTGCACTTCTTGAAAGGAACCAGTCTTGTAAGTAGGGCGATGATGTTTAGGAAAGAAATACTAGGAAGTGTTACAAGCTCCTATTCATTAAGCATCTGTTATAGGGCAGGGATGGTGATAACAATAGTTCTGTTATGACCTCTGCTATGAGATAATTCAGTTTATAAAGATAAGTTGGACAAATAAAGAAATATGGGTAAATGTGGGTGTTTTGATAGAGAAAGATATAGAGGATAGAATGGGCAGCCTGGATACAAGAGTGGATACAAGCTATGTGGTTGTGTTAGTGAGGGTTTGGTGAGAAAAACAGAAGCTATTCTAGGCATACAAACAGGAAGGGACTTAATATAAGGATTTAGGGGCTTATGAAACCTTTGGAGGTGTTGGGCAAACAAGGTCAGAGAAGGCTGTTTCTGGCTCCCAGATTTTCTGCTTACTTTCATGGAGTCAGGAAGTTGCAATAATACAGGATGCCCAGTAATTCCAGTCACTTTTCTCCAAACCCCACAGAATACCTTTCTTCAGTGAATCTAATCCTGAATACTGCTGGCAGAGATCCATGGGGATGTAAACCGAGGGCTTTCTGTGCTCGTGCTGTGAGGGAGAGCATAGTAGGAGGAAGGCAATGTTGGGTTGCCAACAGAAGGCTTGACGTGATGGCAGAATGGAAGGTCTGTGTGGAATCTGAAAAAACCTGAGCAGTTCTGCAGTCATGTGCAAGAGGCTAAATCCTTTGGAGCATCAATATTCTGTTGTGTAAAATGATAATGACTAAAATATCTCTCAGTTGTATTATCAGAGGGGTAGCTGACTTTTAAAAAGCTGAGAATGGGCTTGGTAGCTCCTTGTGCTGATGTTTAGAAGGGGAGCTGATCACTAAAAGATGGTGATACTCCTTGACATTTTTCTCCCAGGGTTTCAGAGTTTCCCTTTTGTTTTCACTTCTCTAACATCTTTCCTTCATATTCTAATCAACAGTTGTGACAATAATGAACCTTCACAATGTTATTAAAAAGGTGCAGCTTTTGGGTAATGTGTTCATGGGGGCTGACTGTGAACCTGATTCCGTATCACCCTCCTGTGGCTGTGTTTCCAGTTGGCATAAAGATTAAATGAATAAAGTAGCATAATGAACCTGCAAATGCCAGATACTCCTTCTCTCTTCCTGAAATTGCACAAGGAAGAGTAAGCATATCACACAGAGGACTCCAAGCCAGAAAGTTGGGCAAATAGAGGAGAGTGACTATTTTGCTTTCTGTTAGCTTTGGCTGATATTCTTTAACATCATGAAAAGGAAAGTTAGTATAGAAATGTTGACTCTTTGCCACTCTTCTGTACAATATGCTTTCTAAATGAGAGAGGGAGCAAAGGAAGACACAGAAAGGGAGAGAGAGAGAGAGAGATCAACCCTAGCATCTGACTCTATTCTAGTTCTATTTCTCAAAAACGCCAATTGCCTTAGACCCTAGAGTGTGGTATTTTTTTGAGTCAGTAGGTTATCAACTGCAGGGCAGGAAAGTGAAATTGATTTGATTTACAGCAGTGCCTCTCATACTTTTAGGTACGTAGGCATCACTGGGAAATAATACTAAAATGCAGATTCTGAGTGAATAGTTCAGGGCATGGCCTGAGATTTTGAACTGTGTGGGTGGAGAGAGGGGAAGCCAGGAGGATGATTAAATGCACTGGGCAGTTCTTGCACACCAGGAGAGTACTTTGACATTCATTCAGC